AAAGGTCTTTTCCAACCAAAGCGATTCTATGATTCTATGTTTGCAGTGGTGTCCAGCGACAGGACTAGGGGCAATGGGTGCAAACTGAAACATAAGAGGTTTCAGTTGAATATGAGGAAGAACTTGTTTACTCTAAGGGTGACGGAGCACTGGAACAGGCTGCCCAGGGAGCTTGTGGAGTCTCCTTCTCTGGAGATATTCAAGGCCCGCCTGGATGAAGTCCTGTGTAGAATGCTCTAGAAGAGCCTGCTTTAGCAGGGGGGTTGGACTAGATGATCTCCCGAGGTCCCTTCCAACCCTTGCGATTCTGTGATTCTGTGATTTTGGGGGCTAACTCCCTACCAGTGTGAACACAACGCTACCAGTCCGATTCTCTTCTCAGTCTAACTCCATGGATTCCAGTAGCGTTACTCCTAATTTAGAACAGCAAAAGTCATCTCGCGTTGTAACTTTAGGTTCCCAGCAGAGGACTGATGAATTCTGCTGGGTTTTACAGTCGTCCATTTTGCGCTGGCTATGAACCTCTCCTCCGTTGTGTGGGGAGAGAACGGCCCTGGCTGGAGCTACGCGTGTCTGCGCCGCGCAGGTGACTTCCCCACTCCCCGTTTTCTGTTCCTGGGATGGAGGCAGAGAACCAGGTACTTCTGTGCAGGTCTGGGTAACCCTGACTTGGTCAGGTTTTAAATCGCGATAACTCCACTGTGCGCAGGGAAGCGCTGGTTGATTCATGCCAGCGTAAGAGCCAGCAGAGTCACCGCCCCCTGCCACCCCGGCCGAGGGTGGGTGTTTTGCTGACTGGCTCAGTATCGTTCATCCCTTCCAGCAAAGGCGAGTTGCTGTAGAGGTTGCGTAAAGCAGAGCTCCCAAATATGCGAAGGCATTCTTGACTCTTCGCCCGGAGCCCACCAGTTCCTTTTGAAGATTAAGATACGAGTGATGAAGGCGATTCACCTCCGAGCAAACAAAGGTCGTGTGAAAGTATGAACCCACTTGTGTTTTGCAAAGGGCTCGCGCTGACAAACGAGAGCAGCTTCCTCTGGAGCGGAATCTGCTCAGGACAGTCGGCAGCTGGTTCGTGCCGACTCGAGTCAGAAACGCTCAAGTCAACTGGCTTGTAAACTGGACTGTGGCAGAGGGTGTCCGGGTGTCTGTCCGTGGAGGTGTGACACGCGTCCTGCACGGGCATTGTCCCTCAGCTGCACCAAGGCCTGATGCTGTGCAGCAAACCCAGCAGCCATCCTCTGAGCGAGCAGGCGGCAGAGGCGCAGGATTTGCCTGCGCTGCCCTTCCTGCGTATTTCTACCCTGATAAGAAAGGACTCCCCGCCAGGGCAGCACCTCCCGTGGGCACCCCTGACCTCCAGCGCTTGTTTTCTCTTTGCTTTATCAGATGAAAGCACCCAGAGAAGTTTTTTTTTGCAACTTACATTAATTGTAGCAATTGTTCAACATCTACAAAACTGGAAGCTTTCAATCAACTTTAGCTAACGATCATCTTCCAATATACAGCACCAAGTACCGCTAATTAGCTGCTGAGCTATCAGCCAGCCAACCATGGCAGGCTGAGGATGGGGCTGCTTACTGGGAATCAGCGTGTGCTTTGGGGGAGTTTGGTGGAAGTCCCGCTTGAGAAACGCTGCCCCGGTGCCCGGCTTCTGGGAGCTGCTTCCTACCGTAGCTGTAGAGGGAGGAATACTTCCCGAGCACTCTGGTTGAATAAGCGCTTGCGATGACAGAGACACAGAAGAAAATATAAAAAGAGAGAGACAGAGCAGCAGCAAGCTGAGTTGTGCAAGGGCTCTGGTATCCCCAGTGCTGGGTGGAGGGCTCCACTCTTTGCTTCTACAAATAACACCCAGTTTCTGTGTCTATTCGTGCTTATTCATTCCTTGCATCATCAGCCAAGCAGCTGAGGATCTCGGTGCGCAGTGTGATTCTCCCTCACTCTGAAGGGAAGAGCAGCATCCTGTGTTTTGTTAGGCCACCCACACGCTGTGTTTGGAGATGCCCTGGCACTGGGTTGGGTATGGGAGAGGATCAAAGACAGGAAAATGAAACCCTGCCTGCATCTGTTCCGCAGTGCGGAAAGCTTTAATGCAGTTGGTGAGGGTCCCCTCCGCTCTGCTTTCCCACCTATTTCCTGGGGTGATTCCCTGGGTTTGTGTAACTCCATCTGCGATGGGTGAGCTGGGTACTAAAACGCTCAGCCTGTGTGGAAGTCCTGGTGCATTCAGCTGGAAAATGCCCTTGGCCGCAGAATTAGAGCTTAGCGCTGACATTTGGGGTGTGCAGACTGGGGGCTACCTTCTGCACGTCGAGGGTTGTCTCGATTGTCCGTTTGACTGGGACTCCTGTGCAAGGGAGTACCCAGGGTTCCTGGAAACACCGAGCCCCTGGCTCCAAAGCAGCCCAGGCATCAACAGCAGCTGACTCTACTGAATTTAACCAGCCTTTAATGAAGCTGCTGCTCCCTCTCAGCCCCTGACTGATTTAGCTGTGAAGTGTTTTGCCCCCGCTGTAGTTCTGCTTGCTGTGGTACAGCACAGAATAGTTCTGTACGTATCGTGTGTTCCTGGGGTCAAAGGGCTCAGGTCACCTCTGATCTCGTGACTGGGAGTTTTGGTCCAGCGGAATTTTCTTCCCCTCTTTTCAGGCTAGAGTGGAAAGGAAATGTGGGGTGTTTTTCTTTCTGGCAGCCGAGTGAAGACTACATGGATGGCTGTGCCTGGGGTGATGGTGTCCCCTTGTCCTTTTCATGCGCTGACACAGCATTGCAGGGGTTTCTGACCAAATTGGCATAAAGGACTGATGAAAATGAAAGAGGGCCTTTCTCCACCATCTGCAGAAGGTATTTCCAGCCCATTCCTCTCCTCTTTAACGAATTTGGTAGCCATCCTTAACACTTGTGGGCCAGATCTTCAGCATGAATAAACTGGCCTAGCTCTGCTCCTTCAACTCGAACAGACTGATTTACGTTGGCTGGGGATGTTGTCCTAGCTTAGTCAGTGGAACAGCTCTCGGGGAGTTGGCCTGCCAATGCTGTACGCTCCAAGTCTGGGATACAACCAGGACGTGGCTCCCGAAAAGCCCATCACCCCATCTGTGCTGCCACCAGGGCTCGGGAGAGAGCAGCGGCACCAACGTGTCCTCTCACTGTCTGTGGCTGGTACAAAATCTGCAGCTGGGTAAGTTCAAACGCTAGAAATAATAGCAGTGTGGCTATTGTCTGCTTTTCTAGCCCTTCAGAACCTCCCAGAAGGACTTAAGAATCTTAGAATAAACAGGGCAATAAATAGGAGTCTGACTAACTGAAAAAATAATGTTACGTGCGCCTGGCAACAATGAGCCAACGGGCACTGAGGGACATGACGTGCCTAGGCTGACCTCCACCCCATGACAGCTCTGAGTCCCGCTGTCAGGAACCGCTCAAGGCGAGGAGACTGCCGGAGGATTTGTCCCTGCGCCTGTGCTCTCCTACCGAGACTAAAGCCAGGGTCAGAATTCGGCCTGCTCCTCGCATGAGCTGTCCCTTTGCCACTGAGGAACAACTCCTGCAGGAGTCAGGCAGTGGTCCTGGCTGGAGGGACTGGTGGCACCTCCCTGTCAGTCAGCCCGCTGTGCTTAACCCATTCCTCACCGAGGGTGGGTCCCTCCTCCCGCTTCGCCCGGCATTTCCTCATTACAAGCTGCAGGATGTGTTTCCTCTCCCATTTTACTCAGCTCGGAAAGCTCCGGTGGAGCCTGTGGAGGACAGGACAGCCAGAGGGGTGTAAAACCCAGGAGACGGTGCTGAGGTGCTCTGTAATGCTGCCTCCAGCTGGGGCACAGAGGCGCTCTCTACTGTAAGAAGGAGTTGTGGGTTTTTTCTCCTCTTTTCCTGCAATTGCTCCTCTCTTCCAATCAAACAGAACATTGCAGGTGAAATGGCTGTTGTACCAACAGCCAGCATGAGGTGACAGTTTTACACATGTGCCAGAACTCACAGAACCTGTTTGTCAAACGCACTGACAGGCAGTGATGCTTCAGTGGCCTTCCTGTTGCAAACGTGCTTTTTTTTAAACTTGCCTTTAAAAATAATATTGTAAAATATGGATGAACGAGTCTGATAAAGTCAGGGCTCCGGTGCTGCTTCTGCCACATCACTGCTGGGTGGCCCTTTGAGACCATTCAGCCCAGGTTTGCAATGATGTTGGACAATCTAAAGGCATCGGGAGATGCTACATTCTGATCTTAGAATTTAGACACTTGGTGCTCATCATAAACCTTCTGTCCCCCGTCCACAGGAGGTCCTACATGCCATGTGCTGCTGAGTTATGTGTCTTTTAGAAATGGTGTGTCCTCTCAGGTGTCCACACCCTTTGCAGGTGGGCTATCCTAATTTCTGTGCTTCATTTTTTCCCTGTTGAGCTGTTTAGTCACGTTTGTGTTTTGCTGTCTCTAGTAGTGAGAAGTACTTCAGAACAATTCTTATTTTTACCTGGCTGAGGGAATCCTTCCTGTGATCTGCGCTCTGTCCGTCACCCTGTGTTTGAGACAAACACAGCACCAGAACAATTCTTATTTTTACCTGGCTGAGGGAACCCTTCCTGTGATCTGCGCTCTGTCCGTGGAGCAGTCCTGCTTCAGAGACCCTTTGTAATCCACGAGGTCACACTGCCCAGGCAAAGGAGGATCTTTACGGGGTGGGATGGATGGAGCAGAGTCAAACAGAATTTCTGCCTGTCAGGAGAAAAAGAGATTTGAGGAACTTGTCCCAAATTGATGGGGTTTTATGTCTGGAAATAAAAGCTGTGATTTCTGTTCAGTGCCCTGGGGAGCTGGATGCTTTATCCTCCTAAGCCAAAATCTTTGGGAAATGATCTGGGGGAAAAAAAGAGTCCAATTTCAATGCCACAGAGAGCCCACTTTGTTTATTGTAAAATATTGTGAAGACTTACCAGTGGTCCAGGCTCTGTGGAGACCTGGCTGCTCAGCTACTCCAGAGCAAGATAGCGCTGAAGCCAAGACAGCCATGCCAAACGACTCCGGCTGGGAGCGCTGCCCATTCTCTCCCACTGACTGAAACGGGAGAGGGAGCAGGCTCTAACCCCAGCACTTGGGCGTGGAGTGTTTTTGTGTTTTCTGATAATACAGACTGGTGATCTTCTCTCCTCATATTTAATTTGCCCTTTCCTCTAGCCCTCTGTCCTTATCAAATGCCACTTGGCACTGCTTCCCTCCCAGCCTGCAGCTTCCCACTCTTTTTACAAAGCCCGTGTTACAAGATACAACTGCTGAGAGATGTAGTAAAGATACACCTGTTGGGTAAGGAGAGCCGTGGGCTTTCTCATGTTCTCATTCTTTTCCATGGTCAGGAATTTATTGTTGATCTTAATCTTAGGCCAGACAACGTCACTGCATAGTGAGAATAAATTTACTTGAACAAGTTGTTGATAGGCAGATTTATTTGTCTTCTCATAAGGATAGCAAGGGGGAGGAGGGCTTGGGAGAAGGGAGTTTCCTTTCAGGCCTTTTAATTTCTTTGAAACAAGTGGGAATGGCAGTTCTGGCTTGAAGGAACTCCTTGAAAGTTTTACAAGCCTCTTTCCAGCTCTAATTCCCAGCCTTAGCAAAGGTTGAGGAAAAGCCCATGTTTTACCCATCAGCAGTTCGTCGAGCTGCTGCGCAGCCACAAGCAGCCTTCACCATTCCTGCCCATCGTCCCCAGATTTGACTCTTCATGCCCAGTGTGCTCTTTGCGGGGTGAGGTTAGGCACTGGTAATGCAAAAGAAACACAGCCTGTGCTTAAAGCCTCTGCCTGGGATGTGAAGGATCTTTTTCCAGGTCATGTGTGCTTTGGCTTCTCGCTCTGTACCACAGGGATAAGAAATTACCCCTACATCATAAGGGTGGTGCAGTATTTAATTACTGTTTGTAAATGTCTGAGAGATGATCTGATAAAGGAACCTCTGATACACTGCTCCAGGGTGTTATCAGCCCACACTCCCCTCCAAGGCAGTGTGCTGTAACACTTCCACCTCTCAGCCAGTTCCTGTGAACCTGTGGCAATAACTGGCCACATTGGACCAGGTGATATAGTGGGACACTGCGGGATCGCTCTGCTGTCTGACATATTTTCGTAATGTCCCATGAAAGTGGCGTGTCCTCCAGGCTGGACTTACCTGAAAGGAGTTTTCTTTGCTTCCCTGGTAGGTTTATGTGGCTGATGCGTTGCAGGCTCTGGATTAAACCTGTCCATCCTTGTTAGGCAGGAGGTCTTTGACTTGAAGCAAGAAGCTATACCCTCGGGAGACACCTCAATGAGGGAATCCTTGGTGGTGTAGTGACCTACAAAACAAACAGGAAAGGGATGTAAATACCAAACAAGGCCGTAACAGTGGCACTGAGGAAAGAGAGTGCATCAGTCAGTGAATGCAATAGCAGGAAAAAGAACCGGTATAACAGGACTGTGTGGGGAAATCGCTTCTGGATTTAAAAAGTACTGTCCTGGGCAGAGCTTATTTCGAGGGATGCTGATAAGGCAACACAAAACTTTGTCCTGAGCATAGGAACAAATGGAGATATTAGCAACTTTAAAGACTCAGACAGAAGGAGAACTCACATGTGGTATAACTTGTAAGATAAGCTCCAAAGCTACGTGCCCTCACGTTCCAGGTCTCCAGCCTCACCAGGCAGTGGGCCAGGAGTAGACTCCTTTTGCAGCTGGAGTCCTGTGGAGCTGGGTACGTTATGCACTAATGTGGCTTCTCCTGAAGCCTCTGGCATTTACACTGAGTTGTGGGGCGTTCTAGTGATTCCTTACAGCTGCTCAGAACTGCCAGGATGGTTTCCGGATGGTTGTCCCAGCAGAGGTTCAGAGGGACCTACCCACAGCTCTTGGAAGGGAGGCTCACTAGTGTCCTGATGCCTGCTTAAATCTAACGTGCCTTAAGAAGCTCTGGGTGACCTGAATTTGTGTGTAATGGTGCTCTGCACCCTGGAGAATCAGAACCAAAATCACCAGCAACATCCTTCCTCCCAGCTCAAGGCTCATGTACACGGAGAAAGCCATTTTCTAATTTTTTCCAAATTTAATCCTCTTGTGGTTTTGGACACAAACACTGTCTGGCCAGAAACATTGCTGCTTTGCTTGCAGAAATCCATAGAGGTCTGCTTCAGAAAAAGAAAAAGGGCTTATGAATACCTTTGAATTGACTTTACCTGTGGGTAATTACCAACAAAGGAAAACCCATATTTAAAATCCAGTTGTCTCCATTGTGAGTGAGTCTAATGATACAGCTGTAGGCAGTGTTAGGGCCAAAATGTGGGAGTGCTTACCAGCTGTAGGTAGGTCTCTTTGTGACTGCCCAGCATGTAAAGGTTGCATTTACACAGATGCCGAGGACTTGAAACCCTTGCAGAAAATGTGGCTTTGTGTGTTTAACTGCTGTCTCCGGACTTCTCCAGCGTCAGCTCTAAGTGTCCGGTTTTGTTCAAGTCACCAGCTGAGCACAGAATTTGAGGTGCTGCTGCTAAGACACCAGAGGGGCATTGGGGTGGCAGCCCCTGCAAAGAGCTACAGAGCAAAGGAGGGGTCTCTGTGGCTGTCGCTGCTGGGCCTGCAGGGTGGGCTGATGGCTTTGAGCTAAGGATAATCTGTATTTCGGTTTGTTCAAGCCTGCTGGTAGCTGCTAGAGTGTCTGTGCCCTCCTGCAGCTTGCACCAAGCTCAGTGTGCAGCACTGTTGTTACACTGCTAGCAGTCCCCGAGCTAATTAACTTGGACCAAGGTGCCAGAAGTCCCTGGGGGAGCAGCTCACACTGCTCCTCTGGAGCGCTCAGCTACCTGCTGCAGTCACTGCCCTGGTACACACCGCAGCTCTTCTAGAAAATACACATAGAAATGGGACAAAGAGAAAGATCCTTCAGATTCCCAGGATGAAGCCTAACCTCCTGGAACATTCTCCAGGATTTAAAGCTTTTTATTGCTGGCTGCTGAAATGGACTTTTTCTAACCAGGCTATAGTTAGAGAAAGCATCTAACAGTCAAGGCTAATTCACTGATGTAAGTGGGAGAGTCCAATTCATGCCCAAGGGTGAGGAGGCAGCAAGAAACCTGCATAAAAGATTCAAACGCAAAAAGACTGATGCTTTTTCCCTGTTTTTGTCTTATGTTTCCTATATTTAGCTCATGAAATGCCTACAATAGTAATGCTGTTTAGCTGGCTTTATTTTAACGTAGGGTTTGGTCCCAGAGCTTTGAGGACAGCTTGGGAGTCTGCGTTCTTCTTTCTCACCCATTTTTTCTCCAATATTCATCAACTTTCAGCTGTCACTGCCTCAAAAGCAGATCCCCCCGTTACTAGACAAAAGTTCTGTGAGAGCAGCGACCATGTAAAGACTGCAGGATCTGGCCTTCTTTTTCTTCTCAGATGTCTCTTTGTCTACAGTCATAAATTATCAGACACTGCCATCTTTTAAATAGATAGTTTCCTGTTCTGCTTCTTGTAGGTTAGATATTATCTCCTACAGTAAATCATGAGTCAGTGATTAATTCAAGAAGGCCGTTCCCAGAAGCAAACTCTTAAAATGTTAAAAATAATATGATGTGAATCCATTATAGTATGATATAGAAAATAATTATGGCCTGCAAACTAGTTTAATCAACTTAGAACATGCTGGGTCAGATACTCAGTCGGAGTGAGTCATTGTAAGAAAGTTCACAGTCTTAGCGCATAGGTTGTGTGAGCAAACACGATTACCCCATGTCAGCTGAGCCTTGGTAACTCTGTACGTGTGCTCGTTGCACACCCAAACTGTGAGGTAAGACACGTTGTTTGTTTGAAACACCTTCGCTGATGTTTAAACTGTATCAAATTGCTTTGTAAAAGCAGGAATTGCTTCAAGAACATGCATGCAGCTAGTTAAGATGTCTCAGTTGATGAGTGGCAACTTATTAAGCTTATTAAATTGTGTCATCTTCATTCTGTCCTAAACAGCTATGCAAAGTCATCAAATACAAAGAGTCAACGTGCTCTGCCTCACCACACAGTGGATGTGTCTTGCATTAAAGTGCAGTTTAAACAGGGAGAGCTCGCTAGGAAACGGCTGCAACGCAGACATGCCATGCAGAAAAAGACAAAAACTCTCTCTAAGGAATAATGAAACAATCAAAAAATAATCACGGCTATAGCAAGACACCATCGAAGAGACAGGAAGGTCCACTAGCAGTGCGTATATTATTATACACTATCTGATAATTGTTAATAACACTTTGTGATTTGTTAACATCTTCCATACCTCGGAACACACTCTGAATTCCTGCGGACTAAAGCTTGCAACACCCCAGTGAAGCCCGGTCACTGTGGCATGGGTGGGGAGCATCAGGCACAGAACAGTTAAGTGACTTACACAAGGGTGAATCAGCGGGAGGTTCAGGAACTGAACCTGAAGGCTAGGTCCTCAGCTGATATAAACTGGCACAGCTCCACAGCAAGTGGAAGGGCACAGTCAATTACATCAGTTGTACGTATGCAGACCTGATTCCCAGCTCTGAGGTTGAAACTCAAACCCCAGTACCTGTTAAACATGTAACATTCACCTGCCTTGAGCTTCTTGGCAGAATTTCCTATAACCAACCAACGCAGGGCGGATTTCTGGGATGAAAATTCATAGGATGCTATGGGGTCTTTCAGTATCAAAGGGAAGGACAGGGGTCGCTGCTGTCCCAGGGCCAGGGATGTGCTCTTCCTCCCTTGGTATTGAGGAGTTACTGCCTGATGTGCACTCAAAGGTTCGCAACAGCTTGGGGTACATCTGCAGCATGGTTGGAGGTGAGGCAGCAGGTCATGCGGAAATACCAGACCTCACTTCATGCTCGTTGGTTTAGATACTGGTGCCAAACTGCCCACAGAGGCACAGACTTCAGAATCATCAGGCACAGGGTAAGTACCTGGCGCAAAGCTCTGGGCTGTTGTAGCTACCCTGAGAGCTGTACCCAAACCAGGTAGGTTACAGCTAGTTCTAGTGTTTTCTGGAACATCAAACGTCACTTCACAAACATTACAGATTAGCTGTGTCTACCTTGTCCTCTATTCCAAATCGCCTTATTGATTGGGTGCTGGAGTGGGGATTTTCTCAGACTTCCTAGCAATGGGTTGTTGAAATGTGCTAGAGGTTCCCTTGCTGAAGTCTTGCTTGGATTGAAAAGATGGTGAGATCTTGTAGGCGTTTGCAGCTGGGTAGTTGGAGATTTTCTTTCATGCAGTGTGTGGAAGCTGGAAACAGAGGGAGCGAGGAAACTGTCAGTAGCTGAGTTGGAAAGAAACTGGGAAGTAGATGAGGCCTGGAATTTACCAAATGTAATTTTAAAAGACAAATGACCTTTTGCATTTTAAAAACAGCAGAAACTTTGTTATACAGAATTGATGGCTGCAAGTTCTATGAGATTAAATGGGGGCAAGACTAACTTTTTCAGGTACTAAGTTTCATTGATTTCTTCATTTTGGGGTGGAGATGCTCATCAGCTTGCAAAACAGACCTTAAAGACAACCTTTAAGTCTTCTGTTAGAGAGAACAGATCCTGAAATTATCCACTTTAGCTACAAATTTCAGATAGCTTAGTACAATATTCTATATGAGTCCACAAAGTGTGTGCATATGGATCCTTCTTTACATTTTGGCAACTTAGTAAGAGCTCTGCCAATTTTGCTTGAAAAAAGTTCATGCAAAATTAAAAAGGGCCACCTCTGGGTGAGACTGTGCGAAGGAGATTTCAGTCCCAGTAAACATTTAAAAGGTAAGAGCATTTGAAAAAGCATCTTAGAATAACCGCTGGACTTCCACCTTAATTATAACTGTCTGGCAATGAGAAATTATATTCCTTCTTAGCTGGATTTTAGAAACATTCCAAATACAACACTAAATAGGTACCGCAGGCATAGAGTCAGATAAAGACCAGATCCATCGCCCACTGAAGTCAATACAAAGGTACCAGGTGACTTCAGCAGCTTTAGAAATCAGTCTGAAATGAAAATGCTTCCTCTTACCAGAGAAGGGAAGTATCCGGTTCGTTTCTTTGACAACGAGGAGCTGTTGATCTCTGCGGACTGATGAGTTACACTATTGAATCCTGGGCCTGGATTTTCATTCTAGCAAAAGAAATATCACACGTGTTGGCCACGCTGTACCTCTCTTCCAGGCTAAATGCAATGAGACACAGGCTCACAGCAATGCTCATGGAACAGTGCCTTTCCCCGGTACATCCCTGCTCTTCATCTTTCTGAGTGTAGACCAAAACAGGACAAGGGATAGATATAAGGAAGAAATTTTTTACAATGAGGGTGGTGAAACACTGGAACAGGTTGCCCAGAGAGGTGGTGGAGGCCCCATCCCTGGAAGCATTCAAGGCCAGGTTGGATGGGGCTCTGAGCAACCTGATCTCGTTAGCGGTGTCCCTGCTCACTGCAGGGGGGTTGGACTAGATGACCTCTAAAGGTCCCTTCCAACCCAAAACATTCTATGATTCTATGAAAACATACCGATTCTTTCAGGAATAACTCTGAGAACAGCGATGCTGGAACAGAGCAGTGGTCCATACAGTCCCTATGTGTCCATACGTATCTGAACAACTTTTAAATCTCGCTTACGATTGGTCTTACTGGCCCTTACGGCTGTGAGTTCCACAAATGAACTATGATTAATTATTCAAATGTAATCTGTTGCTCCAAACAGCTTATTTTTTAATTTAATCTGTTACTCCAAACAGCTTTCATGGTGAATTACCATCCTGATTTACAAATTGAGAATGAACACTGTTTGTACAATTACTTCCTTCTTTCAAGTTTAAATTTATTGGGATTTAAGTTAATGCTGATATTCTTCTGTTTTATATGATACAGGAGAAGCTCACTATTTCATTTTTCTTAATTCTCTCACATTTCAAGCCATCTTATTTGCCTTCTCTCTAAATTAAACATCTTCAGTGTTTTCATCTTTACTGGGACTTGAATGATCAGATCTCTTATTTCTAAATTGAGTCTATTTCCGCCATAGCTGTTTTTCAGAGTTAGGTTGGCCAGAACATAACAGTCCAGCAGCATAAAGGACGGTGTTCTTGTATTTCCTCTATCATTTTCCAAGCCATCACCTGCACCCCCAAATTTTACACTTTAATTGTAATTGTGCATTGAGGTAGACATCGTCATTTTTTTCAGAATAATAATCTTTTAATGCAAGTCTCCTGTTGCACAGAAAACTGTGTATTTCTGAGTATGAGGAAGATCAAATTTCTCTCCTGTCTACATGGCAATTTGTATAGACTGGGAGCCACAGCAAATCTAAAGTCTCACCTGTAACATCTGAGTTGGACCTAATTAATTCAGCGTGTGGGCAGAACGCATTATTTGCAGTCACCACACCTTTCAGGACTGTTCTCTTTCTGGGTTTTTCAAAAAGAGGACTGGGTGGGATTCTATTTATAGAGCCAACTAAATCAAAACCTGCCTGTGTTGTACATGATACCCCCAGCTTTTCAGGCGTGGTCCCACAAAGGGCTGGGTGCCCTTGGTAGCATGCCCTACTTCTGCCAATCCCAGGAAAAAAAGTGGGATTTGGGAGGTCTGAGACCATACAAGATGAAAGAAATAACTTTTTGTACTAACATAAATGTGAAACAATTCCAGCATGCAGGATGGAAAGAGCTGAAGTTCCTGATCTTTGAGAGCATTCTACCATTATGTAAACTTCATTAATTGTCTTGTCTGCCAGTTACCAATGGAAAATACTCTGCAAGTACCTGGAAGTGACTTAGTTCCTGTTCTGATGACTTCAGAGTTGGATTCTGACAACAATCGGATGCGCCTGGCCAAAAAATAGCACGGGTATAACAGTGAGGGGAAGGAGAATAAGATGCATGGGATTGAAGAACAAGATAATGTGGAGTCGAAAGTAGAGAAGAAGATAGTTTGGGTCTAATTCCCCTCATGCAAAGACACAAGGCTGAATGAAGTTTTTGCAGGATCAAGAAGGAGCAGGAAAGATGCAAGGTTAAAAGTGGGGAAATGGAAGCCTGCATAGGACAAGTACATGGTTGAACAAAAAAACATCGTCCAGACAGGCCCTGGGCTGGTGGCCACACAGCGGCAGCGACCCTGGAACGACTTGCCCCCCTTTAAGAAACAACCAGAAATGGCAGGGAGAAAGATGGAGGCTCTGGCTCTGCTTGGTCTTGCAAAAGAGTAGACTAAAGGGAGGAATAGATGAGAGTGGGCAGGCAGTGCTGTCTGCTGGAGAAAATGCGGTTGATTTATAGTGAGATCATGGGCAAATCACTTCACCAGTCTGTTTTTCCACTGCAGCTGAGCTGTTTCTTGCTACATGCATGGACAAGTGTAATAGTGCTACAGTGCTAAAAATAATAAAACCCCAATATGTGCCACTTCCATTAAAACTGTAAGAACGTTGCAAGGAATCAGATCCCAGCTCTCCAGTTCTTGTTATTTTTACATGTTCTCCTTGCAGATTTGGCCTTCCTCATAAAAACACCACCTGAGATATAAAGGAGATGGTCACAAATAATCTTTTCCACATGTTTTTCTTTGCAGGAAGATGCTCCAGGACAAACCAAAAGCTGAGGTATGTGATGCAACTCTGGGAATTTCAGCAGAGCTGCTCTGACTTACGCTGTGTTTCAGTTCATCCCCTGTGTGATACTCGTAGGATGCCAAACTTCCAGGAGATTTCTGAAGATGTGGTCTGAGGACTCATCCACACAGGGCAGGCGGGGATCCTGAGCTAGCTATTTTTTTATCAACCCCAAGAACTGGAAGCAGAACAGACACCACACTGCTCTGGTCTTCAGCTTGCATCTCCATGTGGCCCTGCCATGTGGAAGCCCTGCCACGTGCTTGAGGTTCTCCACCCTGTGCTCCATGGACAAGGGGGTTGTGCTGAGGAAAGCAAGATTGGTCCAATTTGCTAGAACTGGCTATTAAAATTGCAGCAGGTTTCTAAAGCAGCTGATAAAAAACTGCATCTGCAAGCTCCATTCCCTCATGTTGCCCAGGCTTGGCTGCTCCTGCTGACCAGCCTGCTGAGGCTTGGATGGAGTCCCATGCTCAGCCCTGCCCTATAAAGGGGAGTAACTACTCTGGCAGCACGTTCTTAATTAGTGCCTTCCAGGATAGCACATGTCAGTGAAACAGCTACAGAGCCCTTCTCCCATCCAGTGCATCCAGCTCTGGGTTTGGCGTGACCGTCATCACCTCGGTGTTGTTGAGAGTAATTGGAGATCAGACACCTACACACCCTTGGAAATGTACCTCCTGCTAAAGTGACTGCACACCTCTGTGCCCTTCGAGTCGTGTTCTGGTAATGTAAGGAGGTGCTGAGCTGTGAGGTAAGGCGGTCAGAAACACCTTGCGAACTCCAGCATTCTGGTGTGCGAAGACAGCGGTAAACTGGCAGAGTTACAAAAGTAGGTCAGCTCACCTGTTAGGTATTCTAGGTCAGGTAGTAAGAAGCAAATAAGCTCTTTACATTGCCTAAATTACAAGTGGGTAAACTTCATGTACTGGCATTTATTCCTGACTACCCTGCTAAAGGAATGCGCTCCAAAATGGCTTGCGCTGAAGAGAACAGAGTCAAGTGGTTTTGATGGAGGAAACAAAGTCAGCAGCCCCCAAACAGTCTAGAGCTAATGGATCTAAGGCTTCCCCTCTCCTGTGTGGTGCAGTAACTTTTCTCCAGGGATAAAGCTTAAGAAAGAATCAGCCAAGCCCTTGTGTAGCTTGTGGTTTGGCTTCCTGCCTGCTCTGCCCTTCAAGCAGGAAATTCTCAAAGGGAAGGGAGCGCTTTGTGAAGCCACCTTAAGACTCTGCCTCTTCTCTTTTAGTCAGAACTTAGCATCAGGTCATCTGGAACTCCTGGAAGCTGACCAGACAGACCGATGGCGCCTACAGAAGGTATTTAAGCAACTTCTCTACCTTGATCATTTTCCCTCATCTTCTGTCCTTTACGTCCTTGATTGCTGTTATTCAATCCTGAGATAATACGCTCCTGATATCACTGAGATGGGAGAGACAAGCAAGGAGGAAAAGATCAAAGGAAGGAGAAAAAAGAGAAGATGCCAAAGGCAGAAGAAGGAAGAGGGAAGATGCCAAATACTTCCTTGATTTACCTACTTTACATACCCAGTACACAAAGTTTCAGAAATTCTTAATATACTTAATTTTCCGAGTTCTGGGGCTACCACGTAGTCACCAGACAGCAGGAGACTGTCGGCAGGGGCCATGGGCACGCTCTTTCCACCAGCAGAGGAAGTAGCTTGAAAGCTGGATCCAGAAAGCCCAGGAGGCCCTTGGCACCTGTGAGTGTTGGCTGGGCTTGAAAAGAAACCCGGCAGAGTGCAGGCTGGGAAAAGAGTACGGCTTTAAAATATCTTTCTGCTTCCCTCTGCTGGCCAGATAACAGAAGCACCAATGTAATTCCTACAAATCAGGGAAGGATCAGGGTGAAGAATAGCAAAAGATAGGAGGGGTCACCTTGTGCTCTCACTCCACTGACTTCTTTAAATTTGCTCCTGAATTTCAGAAGAAATGCAATATATATGTATGTGTCCTGGGGAGCGCAAGAAGATTGGAAATGGGACCGTGGCCAAAGCTGGGTGGGTGAGAGGTGGGAAGATGGTGCAGATGAGGGTGCTCTATGTGGAGTAATTTCAAGGTTTAAACCAGTAATATTTCATTACCACTTTTCTCATACTGTTATCAGTTGTGATTACAAAGTTAATTTAGCAACCTTGATCTAAACTTAGTTGCTATTCTTGTTACAAAACAGGATCATTATGAGTTGCAAAAAAATTCAAAACAAAGACATAAACTTCAAACATCTTTGTTACTCACTTGGTTATACTGAAATGTCTTTGACTGAGAATTAAATCTCTTTTTTTCTGAGTTTGAGATTACTTTCCTATGGTGTTTATAAGGACTGGAAGAAATCTTGAAAGCTAAAAGGAACAGATGATAAGAAAATTCAGAATATGGAGATAAAGGAAATATGTAACTACGACGCCAGCTTTCATTTTAAATAGGATGTGTAAGTTAAAGGCAAATTTAACATTAATGCAGTATTCAAGTCAAGAAATCGGCAGTCATTTCTGCATTTAATTTCCCTATTTAAGAAGCAAAGGGAAGAAAAGCACTGCTGTTGATGAATGGGCTTTAAGGGTGACTCAGTGCTGTTAAATCGCTTTTGCAGGTTGTCCTCATTTACTGTGTCAGGCATCTTAACAACTCACTTTACGAGGTTGACCCTCACTATACTTAAAATATGAGGAAAGGTGCTGAGTGCCCCAGCTCCTGCCAATGTCAGATGCGCTGTGCTTTGCAGGCCTGGGATCAAATGCCTTGGCTTGGCAGCATCATTGACAGCCAAGAGATGGTGAGGTGGAAGCTACTACAGTTTTTCAAATTGCATAGTCCCTCACAGATGTATCGTGACATAAACACTGCTACCTCATCTAGTCAAGCGCTGGTGTTATTACTACCAGTCGCAGAGTGGCACTGGCAATAGTGCTGCATTAGGAAAGTTTAAATATAAGGTCACTGAAAATGTAAGTGTGCTTCTGATCAAGGATAGTACAGGTCTGAAGACGAGCTCTGCAGCTAGAGGGAAGGTTAGCACAGGGAAGGGGTCTCTGAGCAGTTGCTAAGGTCAGGGCTCTTACAGGGGTGGTGTGCCGGACAAGGAGGTGGTCAGTGCTACAAGGGAGCAAACAGCAAACTTCCCACTGTCCTGCAGAACACACAGCAACTGGAGGGTTACGATTCGATAGCATTGCTTAAGTCTTTTGTGCTGGTTTGTCCCCAAGGAGACTGATTTTGGACCTGAAACACTTCTAACTTGCTGTGGATATAAATTGTTCCGGATGCCACTTCCTATTGATTGGTTTCATTAACAAACCCTTGCTGTGCTTTGAAAGAAAAACCTTTGCATGGCTGGGGTTTTGCTTCGTCAGCTGTACAACGACTGCTGCGAGTGCTGTTCCGGCCCGCTACACAGTACCGAGCCCTGCTTTTCTGCCCGATGTACCTCGTCCTCCAGAGCACCCACGGAAAGGCAAGTATCCAGAGTATTACAGAGCTACCGCGCATCACATGGAATGGCTCTCTGCAGCACCACCGTTTCGTTTCTGTAACAAATCACTCAGAACTATTAACGTGCGGCAGCCTGGCAGGGGCTTTAAGGGCGGGGTTGGTTTCCTACATGGACGCAAAGGGTCAGCCACAACCTTTCGTTTCTCCACTAGCGACCCAACGAACGGCTGCAGCGGCCGGTGCCTGTGTGCGGGATGATGGCTCGGCGGGGAGGCGGGGGCCA